CAGGAAAGCCCCAGGAGGAGGCAGCACTGCGCTCCCAGGACTGCAGGCTGCCCCTCTCTGCACCCCAGCATCCTCCCCCAGCACTGACACTGTACTGTAGGCAAAGGCTTCTTCTTTGGGGAGCTGATGTCAACCCTGTCTCAGCCATCTGTATGCCAGGCCTGCAGGATCCTCATTTGAAAGCACAGGTCTTCGTTTACTGCCTGGGTGCTCTCAGCTGCAACATGCATCAAGTTCTTCAGCAATGCTGTGATGGCTCCAGGATGAAGGGACATGTTTTTCTGGATGTCTCAAGCAATTTCAATCCCTAGGAGACCAGAGGGAGCCACAGGGATGCTTTCTAGTTTCCCATTCTGTCTTTTGGGGTCTATATTTCTGCTGTATATTTGCTAGAAATTAGAGAGAATGGCATAACTTAAACACATTGTGTCCCTCGGTCCTTGCCCCGCTGCCATGGATAGGAAGAGGAAGTTCTCTCCAGCGGCCCCAGTTTGACCAGCCTGAACGCTGCCACCACTGCCTTCCCAGTCCAAGGCACCATTTCCCTGCCCTTTCCCTGCAGACAGCGTGGTCGCTCTGAGCAGTTGGCTCCAGACAGTTCCCAGGCATCCACCCTGCTGGATTTACTTTTGGGTAGGAAAGATCAAATCCAGGCTACTTCCTTAGGAGCTGCAACCTTCCTGCCAAGTGCCCAGATAGTCTGGGAGCCGGGGGCAGAGCAGGGAGGAGTTAAGCAGAACCATTACAGGTGCCTGAATACAGCCTGTTAGCACAGCTGCTCAGCTGCAGGGCTTAGGCAGAAGTAACAGCGTGCTTGCTGCTCTGAGCAGGTTTAGGAGAGCAGCTATCAGTAGGGGCAGACATTCAGTCTGCCCCAGCTTCTCACAGCAGAAATTCAAAGAAGCCCCCCATGCATTGTGGCTTGGGAAAATGAGCGGTGTCAGCAGGGTTGGAGAAGGATGCTGCACACTGTGAGTGTGGGTCCCTGCTCACAAAGGGTGCCAGTGACTGGGCTGCTGGGCAAACAGCTGGGTGGGAGGGGTGTCCTGGCCCTCTGCTGCCAGCTGCTGTGTTTGATTTTGCCCTTTCTGCTTTTAAGGGAGAGGTCTTGCTTTTGGTGCAGGCAGAAATGCAGCATTTGTGAAGGGAGAAACAAAGCATCTGGAGCTGCTGGAAGGGTGAGGCCAGGGAACAACCAGCACATAGGGCACTGAGAAAAACTCAGCCCTGACGTGAGGACTCAGAACACACTGCGCCCTCCCCAAGGCAGGGATGGCCCCGGATCTCCGTTGCCATAAGCAAACATTCACAGAGGAGAGGCTGTTTTCACAGTGATTTCAGTCATTATGACTAAATGGTTTTAGTCTGGTGGGTTTCAGAAGTTCAGCTCTGGTTCCAAGTTGAGGTTTAAAAGAAAGGTTAAACCTCTTCATTAAAAGGCTCATATCTGCTGCCTTTGGAACAGCTATAAATCACACTGCTCTGACTTTCTCTGTCGCCCAAGGGTGGTTTGCTCCCCAAATGATCCCAGCACGAGAGGAATGTGGCAAAGAGCTGTAAGTGCCGGAGAGGTGACTGCATGCACCAGGTCAGGAGGGAACAGTCTGGGCAGGTAGGACTGCTCCCAGCACAGCAGCATGTTAACCAGTGCTGTTCAGAGATTACTCACTGCCAGACTGTGCCAGGGGGAACAGGGCTGCACTTCCAGCCTGGCCTTCATTCATGATGCCCCCGGAGATCTTGCAGTGAGAGGAGATGTGGCTTTGCTGGGGAAAGGCTGCTGCAGGGACCCTTTGTAATGGCAGGTTATGGGGCTGCTGACTTATGCAGCAATGGTCCTAGGGAGAGGGAAGCAAGAAAAGACACTGAAAAGTTGAGTTCTCAAGTGTTTGGTCCCTCTTGGTGTCGTTTTCCTTCTGGACAGAAAGGAAACAGATAGGACTCACCAGTATTAGCAAGATCTAACGCTAACACTAGACAGTCCCTTCTCCTCAGCCTTGTTCACATCGCTGGTGAGGACTGACAGTTGATGTTCTCACTGTTGTCTTTGTGGTTGAGTGGTGGTCTGTCAGGACAACATCCCATGGAATTCTTCATTGGGTAGACAGGGACAGGAGCAGGGCCAGAGGTTCACCTGCTGCAAAGGCATTTATGGATAGAGAGGGACTCACAAGGCATAGGGTAGTGCAGTATGGAGGGTCTTCATCATAAGAGAATTCCCGCTCCAGAAGCAGTAGGGGATGTCTCTGGAAGTGCTGTTGGTATCTCTCAATCTGGCTGTTGTACCAAGTGCTCCAATCCCCACCTGCCCCAGCTCGGCACGCTCAGTATCCAAAGAATGAAGCTGTGAAGAATCTGGGGCACAAAGTGTGATGGGGAGCAGCTGAGGGAACTGGGATGGGTCGGTCTGGAGAAGAAGCAGCTCAGGGGAAACCTCCCTGCTCTGCAACTCACTGAGAGGAGGCGGTGGTGAGGTGGGGGTCGGCTGCTGCTCCCAGGTTAACAGCGATGGGATGAGGGGGAACAGCCTCGAGTTGTACCAGGTTGGATCAGTTTGGATATTAGGAAACATTTCTTCTCAGAAAGAGCAGGGAGGCCCTGCACAGCTGCACAGGGCAGTGGGGCAGTCACCATGCCTGGAGGTGTGCAGAGCTGTGGAGATGTGGCACTGAGGGACGTGGGCAGTGGGCATGGTGGGGTGGGCTGGGGTTGGACTTGATGATTGTAGTGTCTTTTGCCTTAATGATTCTGTGATTCTATGATCACATGACTGAATCATCCTCAAGAATGGACTCCTGGTATAGGAAATAATTACAAGGCTGGTACCAGCTGAATAGTTTTCAGCTTTTCTTTCACACACACCCCTCCAGCCTTTGTGTTAAGGATGAGCTGACGTTCTTGCCATTGCTCAATACGTCTCCTGTCTGGCAGGTTAGCAGAGCTCCTGGCCCTGCAGGAAGTCTTATCTGCTTTCTTCAGCTGTAGAGCTGCTGGTTGCAACATGGACTCTTAGGCCAAGAGTGAGTTATAGGAAGAAGAAAATCTGATAAGCTGTGTGGGTGGTGACACAGTGATAAGGTCTAACCTGCTGTGCTGGGGTGGTGTTTGGGGATGAAGAGCCACGCATGGTGGGGAGAGTGCAGGGGGCTTTGAAAGAGTGTTCATAGAGTTCTTGAACTTTCCTCATTGGGCATCCCGGGGTTTCATTTTCTTCAAGAGGGCAGCTCTGGGCTTTCTCACACTTTCTGTATGTGTAATGTTACCAGATGCCATCTGATGACAGACCTCATATATAATGCAGCAAGTGCTTGGTTTGTCCAGCAAGTTCCGTTTTCACAGCAACTTCAGCATGTGCGCCTGGCTCCCAGGCGTCAGAAAACCAGAGCTGGGCACCCGTAGCAGCCTCTGCACATCCCACACAGCCCGTGTCTTTTTTGCTACTTGGCTCCTGAGGCTGCAGAAGCTGAGAATGAGAGGCTTTTGTGAGACAAAACTGTCCTATGTGCCTATGAGTAACTTCAGCTCTCATCCCAGTTTGGCCACATGCCAATAGCAGCTTTCTTTTTATAGTACATGTGTATACGTGTGCTGACACCACATCCTGACCCCCTGACACAAAATACCTTGTCAGCGTGAATGAGGCAACGGGGATGGCCAGCATTCATCCTCTGCAGGAAGAACAGCTTGCAGCCTTCGTGCCACTATGTTTTCTTCAGCCTTCTGCACACCAGCTTCTTCTGCAGGGTGCAAAAGGACAGCCTGCAAGGCAGTGGGCTCATAAACAGCACTTCCTTTGTGCTGCTCACTTCTGGCCCCGCAGGGCTGGGATTGCAGCACCCGAGGAAGTGAGGAAACACTTGGTCAGGTTTTTGTGCTCGTGGGTTCAGTCCCACACAGCCCGGGTGGGTCAGCAGAAAGACTGTAGAATGGGATGGCATGTGCCTCAGGGACTCTGGTCCTTACCAGCTAAATCCAGCCTAGATTGCACATAAAATCACATCCTGCTCTTTAAGGTAATCTTTGTGTACACACACACGCAATTAAAGCAAAAACCTGTAAGATTTCTTGTGGGTTTCGATCTGTTTTTAGTTTTATAAATATAGCCTAGTTGTAGCTGTTAAGGTAAAGTTCTGTTTCTTCCTGTCTCAACTTTCCCCACTGTGTACACAAATGTGCAGATAGCTGTGTACTTGCACACCTGCAAATTTAAGATTTTCAGCAGATACACGTTCAGGCATAGGGCTGAGTAAGTCAGCTGTGTAAACGCATTTACTTTCAGAGGTGTCCAGGTGAGTGATGCTGAGCTGGAGAAGGGGCTCAGCCCCACCAAAAAACAGTGCCAGGCAGAGAGAGGCAGAAATCCTGAGTGCCTTCCTCATCTGGAGTCTGTGTTGTCATCAGGGGAGTGAGGAGGAGTGGTGCAGAAGAGCTTTGAAGAGGCCTGGGGAAAGTCTCTGTGTATTTGCTGGCGTGGCTCAACTCAGACGTGTTTCAAATGGGACTGCAGCAGCTCTGCTGCTCACCCAGCCCCACAGCAGCCCAAATCCAGCTGAAGCACACAGAATAGCACTAATCCCATGTCGTTCATTGTAGCAGCACTTTGCTGCGAGAGCTAATTAATTAGTTTCTGTAAAGTCTTTTGAAGGTGTAAAGTGCTAAGTAAGTGCAGAGTGGTATTACCCAGAGGGTGTGGGCTGACAAGTGTAATGGGCACTGTTTAAATAAGAGCATTAGTAAACTCATCTGAAAATATCCTTAAAATGCAAAAGAGCAATGTGCCAAAGGAGGGTCAGCTTCTGGCCAAAGTGCACATGTGGTGAGGGCCAGGGCAGAGGTACCCAGCCCTGGGTGGGAGGGAGAGGGATGTAAATGGGATGCCCCATCCCTGGAGGCATTCAAACCAGTCTGGATGTGGCTCTGGGCAGCCTGGTCTGCTGGTTGGCAGCCCTGCACGTAGCAGAGGGGTTGAAACTAGATGATCATTGTGGTTCTTTTCAACTCAGGCCATTCTATGATTCTCTGATTCTATGAATGGATTCTGTGCTTTACAGATAACTTTCAATTGTTCTACAGCAATAAAAAGTTTATTAAAAGGATATGGTTCAGAAGGGCAACATACTGCTCTTGTTGCTGTACAGGAAATGAATTTGCAACCGGGGTTTTTTCCTATGATTTTTCTGGCAATTGTTTTTCTGTTTCTGGCAGACTTTATGTGCTGCTCTGAATTCCTGTGACTTGCAATCATATTTTAAAAGCAAGTTTTAATTCTGAAATGGCAGCTTGAATTGAGGACAAATCATAGCATTACTGTGAGTAAAAAGAAATCCGGATCTGGATGACCATTCCGTGTACTCATGCTTTCTGTTGTAAATACTTTCTAGGGAGCATGAGTCTGTTCATTACGTACTGCTTGAATGAGCAGACAGACAGCAACATGCTCACCAGCAGGTGTTTCTTTGAGGCCAGAAACAGCCACAGCGTGCAGCAGGGGTGAAATGCAGCTTCAGGAAAATCACAGGCACTTATGACACTAGGCAATTAGATTCAGCCACTGCTTCTTGGCCTGGTCCAAAGTCCATGGAAAGAGTCAGAATTCTTTTCCTTCCAGACTTTAAGTAGAAGGTACCTGAGTAGGTCTGAGTCTTAAAATTTTCTCCCCAGAGCCTTTTCCATGAGATTCTTTGTCAGGGGGTACAAACCTGTGTGTCTGCCTCTGAATTACATCATTGTATTGCCATAGCTGAGCAGTCATGAACTGAAAAGTAAACTGGGTGTTGGTTAATGTTATTTCCTCATTGTATATCTGTCAAGGCACTCGTTATTTTTTCATGTGCCATTATGTCGTGCCCGTACACTGGCCTTGTAGTTAGTGGGACCTTCTCCCTGCCAACCACGTGGAGAGGTGTGAGATACATGAGGTAAGGGCATTTATTTCTAACTTCCTTGTCTATTTTTCTACTGCTCCCCTTAGCCTCTGTTCCCAGTGTCTCCGCCTGAATGAAACGAGGGAGATCTCAGAGTAAGATAAAATGAGGAATCGCTTTCCCTGTGTGAGGTATTAAGGAAGAGGAGGGGTTAAGAAAGAAGCCTTGATCCCCGTTTGCAGGGCAGCACCCATGTTCCCAAGTAAGGATGAGAGTAACCACAAAGTGTCAGCAGCACAGTCAAAGTTCAAGATGTTTAAAACATGTCCTCTACTTTCTTGCTCTCTAAAGTTCTCCCTCTGTTTTTACTTATCCATCTGTGTGGATGTTCCCCATTCCCTCCTTCTCTTCTGGGATCTCCACTCCATTCCCAGGCCCTGGTTCTTGGGAAGGGACATCCTTGGGGACATGGTGGGACAGAGACCCGGGGGCAGTGGGGTCTGTCAGGAGGAAGAGGGGATGCAGAGAAAAGGCTGCCGCTGCCTCTGCTCCTCTGAGCAGACCCGAAGCTCTTTTTCATCTTTTACAGCAGCAAGAGGTCGGGTGCCATTACGTCATGGCTTTAAAATGTGTGCTAGTGGCTCAGCAGCTTGGCTCCATATTTGGTGGGAGGGAAACACGGTGTGTCTGTGTGTCTGGCAGCACTTGGCCCTGCAACAAACCGCAGTGCCTTGGTGCTATGGTGGTACCGGCCCCAGCTGCTGCTGTGTCTTTTTTCTTTTTTTTTTAAGTGAAAAAAAAGTAAATCAAACTTTGGCTTCTGCTTTACAGCTTGCCATCAGCTGCTTTTGCTGATTTTGTTACTTCAAAGTCATATTTTAGAGGCAGTTGCATCACTGCTGTCTTAAAGAAACCATCCTCATAAGAGTAACACCCTGAAAGTCTGGTGTCCTTGCAGGGATGTGTTGGCTGGTTTTGGGCTGAGCCAAATGAGCCCTTGGAGCCTTAAGATCCCATTCAGCTGGCTGCGCCTACAGAGCAGAGCATCTGAGTGCTGCCTTTATAACTATTTTTTTTTTTTTCTTCAGTGAAGTAACTTGAATTTTTGAGTCATGTTTATTCACTTCCTAATTTGCAAGAATTAAGTAATTCACAATGGCTGTCTTGGTCAGGGCTGTGAGCTGGTGAATTGCTATTGTGCCAAGAGGTCCCTCACATGTTGAATTTAATTTCTGAGAGCTTGGAAGAACCGTGCTCCCCCTGCTCACAGATTTCCTTGATGTACACTACATGGTGATGATAATTACACTGAATGCATTATTTGCGTGGTCTTTTTTCCAGTGGTCATCTGCAAAGCAGTAGTGTCTATTTTCCAGGTGCTCTGTTGAATCATTGTACTGGCACTTGTCTTTGATTCTTCCTTCTCTCTATTCAGTACCCTGAATATTATCTGTTTAAACTTGAATGTTTTTAGCATAACTATACGCTAACAATTTGAGCTCAGACATACACACCCTTTCAAAGCTGGCTTTGAAACCAATTATTTCCAGCTCACATACAGGATATACAAACTGCCAACATTCTGCCAACTGCATGCTGTGGGCCCAGACAAGCCTGGCAAACCATCCACAGCAGCCTTGTCACCTGCCTGGGCAGCACGTTCCACCATGCATTCAGGTCCAGAGCTGCTCTGTCTGCCTGTGAGATGAACTGACATGACAAGAGGATGTTTTTTTCCTTCCCCATCTTCCAGTTGTTCAGAAAAATATCCCCACGGGTGTAGCACTGCTGCAGCTAGCCATATAGCTGAATGCAATGTATGAACTTTGATGCTGTCAGACTCAGGGATTGTTGCAGGTGTGGTCAGAAGTGCTTTCCTGAGCTGACGAAGCAGGGTGATGCATGTGGGCAGTGCAGTGCACAAGGAGGCAGAGCATCTCACAGGTTCCATGACATCTCTCTGCATCAGAGACAGCACCAGAACCTCATTTTGTCTTTTAACAGCTTTTTCAGTGTTTCTTACCCAGAAATACCTTTGCTACTGCACCTTGGAGAAGGGGAATACTTTCAATACTAGGATCTCCCCTCCAGTGTCCTCTCAGTGCTCATAAGATTTATCTCTCTTTTAAAAAAATTTATTTTAGTGACAGACTTCTATGGTTAATGTGCTCACTGCTGCTTTCAGCACAGTGCAGTGGATCTCAGGGAGAACAAGGGGACTTTGAACAGCAAACAGAATGGGATGTTGCAGGTGGATGACTTGCAAAGGATCCAGGAATGAGAACGTCTCACAAGGGTGAGAGGTTGGACTGTGAAATACTGGATGTTGCTGGCAGGCTGCAAAAAGACACAGGAACACATGGATCCAAAAATGCCACACATGGAATGATGCAATGGCTGAATGCACTGCTTGGGCATATCAGCTGAGCTCTGCTGAGCTGTGTGTTTCCTGGGCCAATGGTTGCTGCTGTACTTGTTATCTGGGTATGAAGTCTTATTTTGCATGTTTGTGTTGTTTTTTGTTGTTTTTAGTTTTGTTACTCTTCTAGCTGGGTGTTGGGGATGAGAATTTTGCCTTCAGGTCCAAAGAGCGGTGCGTAGGTGCAGGGGAAAATCCAGTGCAATAATTCAGGTGTCATTATGGAACTTTCTTTTCCTTGTCACCTGCCCGGTCACCTCATGATGGCTTGAGTGAATCCACATTCTCTCCAGGAAATGAGTTCTCTCTCTTACCTCCCATTTCCACTCCTTTCACAGAGAAACACCCAGTTACCTGTCACCAGCAAGAGGCTCCAATCAGCCTTCACACTTCTCTCCAGCTTCTCTCGGCTTCGTGGTGGCTCTGGAGCTGGAGGTTGCCAGATGCAGGGCAGGAGAGCCATAGGAACTGGGGAGAAGAGAAAACTGAACGTCAGATTTTTTCCCATCCATTCCTTCAGGTTCAGACTGGAGGCGGTGGCTGCTGTGTGTGATTTCCCTCCGTGGGGATGCCAACAGGCACCGGCTGTCTCTTCAATTCCTTCAGTTCCAAATCTCTTTCAGAAAACGGAGCCCCCGGCACACCTCAGCTGCTACTCGGCAGTGACACACCGGGCACGCAGGTGCAAGTTTGCATCGAAAATCGCAGCTTGCAAGAAGTTAGCGTCTCCATAAAAGCACGTTTTATTTTTCCGCTTTAAACTTATGGTGCGGATTACACCTAACGGACGCCACGTGCGTGCCTTTGTTCCGGCCGGGATCATCTGCGCCCGCCACACGCAGCGTACGACAGCGGGGCCGCGCGGTGCCCCAGCCGCCGCTCTGCCCCTCCAGGCTCCGCCGCGGGAGGTTCGGGCCCTCCTGAACCTTTCGGCCCGGCGCCGCGCCGCGGCGACCGAGCCGGGCCGCCCCGACCGCCCCGCCCCAGGCACAGCGCGGCGCCCTCGGCGTTCGGACCTCCTCCCCGGCAGGGGGCGCCCGCGTGCGGCGGCGGGCGGAAGCGTCGCCTCGTTCCGCCGCCGCCGGCCGCTCGCCGCGCTCCGCCGCCGGGCGAGGACGGGCGCGAGGGACGGGCAGCTGCGGCGCCGCAGCACCGCGGGGCGGGGGCCGGGCCGCGCCTCAGCCTGCAGCCGCCAGAGCCGGGGCGGTCGTGCCGCGCCAGGGGCGGGCCCCGCCGGACGCGACGCCGAGGAGGCGCCGGGCCGCGGCCCAGGTACCGGGCGGGAGGCGGCGGGCGGCGCGCGCGCGAGGGGCCGGGCCGGGCCCGGCCGTTCGGTCCGAGCCTTCGGGCCCGAGGGCGTCGCGCGGCGGGGCGGGGCCGCGCCTTCAGGACCGCGGGGGCCGCCGGGGGAGCGGCCCGGCCCGGCCCGGCCGTGCCCGCCGCGCTCCGGCCCCGAGTCGTGAGGCGGCGGTGCGCGGTGAGGCGGCGGCGGGCGGGTCCGGGCGCTCGGAACTTTCCCCGGGCGGCTCGTGCGGGCCGGACCGGGCACGGCGCTTCCCAGGGGCGGCGGCGAGCTGCGTGCCCAGGCGCCGGGCCGCCGTGGGCCGAGACGGCAGGGGGTTCCGCTCCGGGCTGCCGCTGTCGGGAGTGCGGGCTCGGAGCTCCCCTTTGTCGCTTCCTTGGCCGTGTTTACGGGCCCAGGCGCGCGGCGGGCACGGTGCGGCCCTCGGAGCGTCCGGGTTTGAGGCCTCTTCCTACAATTGTTCCCGGTCGCTTTGGGCCCCGCGCAGAAGTAGCGGCGCGAGGGTGCAGCTCAGAGCCCGCTTAAGCCAGCACGCTGTGATCCGTGTTTGCCACGGGAGGAAAAAGTTGGTGCGTTTGTTTGTTTTCCTGCAGTCCCTCAGTGATGTGCTGCTCGTGTTAAAACTAGGAGATATTCTGGGTTGGTTTTTTTTTTTCTCTTTTTCCCCTTTTTAAAACTAAAATTTAATTATTGTATAAGTCACCATGAAGGCGCACGTGATTTGTTTAAAACCTACATGCTGCCTTATGGGAATGGTGTGATTTCATTTGTTTGGTGAGTCAAAGAGTCAACGGCATGACCTGGCCTATGCAGTTTCAGTGGGGCAGGTAACAGCGCTTAGGGAAGCAGTTTAAGTGTCGACCACAGGTGAAATCTGATTAGCATCAAAACATTGGTGAGTTTTTTTGTGTGTGTGGTTTGCAACCTACCTATCAGAAGCTTCAACACAAGGCCGGTGTTTTCCTTCCAGCAGTGCAGCTCATCTCCAGGAAGCATCTCTTCCTTTTCAGTGCTAGAGTGCATGAAATCATACGGTGTCAGAGGAAGTGTCACATCCTGAGCTCACACCTTAGCATCTCGACTTGGAAATGATAGATTTTTACCACTTAAAACGCCGTGTGCCTGTAGTTAATTCCCACTCCCTAGTACCTGTTGATGTGGCATGAGCCTTTAACTGGAGAGGAAAAAGAGGCCAGGAATTACTGTGAGATCCAGAGTGAGCACGGCACCTGCTTTGGTGTCAGAAGTCCTGAGCAGTGACAGCCCAGCTGAGCTGTAAGAACGGCACAATGCCCCTGGCACCGTGTCTCACTGGGATCCTGTCTGTCACTGACTCACTGTTGTAAGAGCATTATATTTTACAATTAGCTTCGTGGCTGTCTTGTGACATGGGAAGCTATTGAGTCAGCCAGGTAGCGCTCGCTGGGCTGAAGTCTGCTTGAATGCTTATCTTGATGGCAGCGTGGCACAGGTGGTGTTAGGGGTTTTCTTTGTCAGGCTGAGAAAGTGCCTTAAGACGGGTGGAGATTGTGTCTGGAGTTTGTATGTATGCAATAGCGTGCTGCTGAATGTTTCTAGGCACTGATAGTGTTGATCTTTCAAGTTAATTGCATTCTCTTAGATTGACTCGGGGTTCTGAAACCTCCCTGCCTTCCATAGGCTTTAAAACCTGCTTACAGATAAAGAAGTGCTGAAAAGCAGCGCTGCAATGTAGAATTGGTGCTTCTTTAGAGGGTCTGTATTTATACAAATAAAGGAGACTAAGCAGAAGTGCCAGCTAAGTAACACTTTGTGACAATATGTCTTTGAGAGATAATTGTGTTCTTTGGGTTTTATCAAGTGCAGACAAATGTGTATTCCTGGGGGGGTGTGACAGTATTAAGAGAACTCCACCTCTTGGAATTTCTTGATTGCTTTTCAGAAACATTTATGCAGGAGGGAATGGTATCTATTTTGCATTCTATGGTGGAAGTTAATGAGTTTGTTTCTTAGTAATTAACTGATAGTAGTCAAGAGAGGCTTTACTGTTGTGCTGTAAGTTGCTACGCTTTTCAGCTTTTTTAAAGGCGCTTTTGTGAATGCTGAAATTACTGACCAATGTCCTCGCTTCTGAATCCGCTCTGGACTATTTGAGTTGTTCCAGAACTGTCAATGAATAGTTTGCAGCCTTGATATCTGTGGAAAATATTTCTGCAGGCTTTGATAGTCTCTGCCGTGCGCTCAGAGGCTCGAGGCAGGGGCAGGAAGGCGTTGGCATGACCTTCTGAATTCCCTCCTGGCCCTGCTTTTCTGTAATTCTGACACTTTCTGATATGGTTTAATTACAAGAGCAGCTATTAAAATATGATTACCACGGTCTAATTGGAGACATCTTGCAGCTTTCTATCAAAAATAAGGTTTGAGTCATCTGCTTCTTCAAAATTAATAGTGCCACAGTAGCCACCTCCCCCCATCCGAGTGTGAGCACACAGGTCAAATTAGAAGATGATGCTGTCCTCAATTATTTTAGAAGACTTATGGAGGCTTTTATATGCATGCTTCACTGGTGCCTATGGCTTAAGCTGGTGTCATATGAGTTTGGTCTTTCTTTAGCCTGAGCAGATTTTTCATGCTTTTGCTGTTTTATTTTACAGTAAAATGGCCCGTGCGTTTGTCCCTGTATAAAGACTTCTCATGAAGAGCTGAGTTGAGGATTGACCCAAACTGGAAACAGCCAAAATGCTGTGTGTGCACAGTAAGAGCTGTGCTCCTTCCTCAGCAGCCTTCATGTGCTGTCTTTCTCAGGCAGCATTAATTTAGAAATAGAAAGTGCATTTCTCAGCTTTAAATAAACAGCAGCAATTTGGTTTTTAAGTCGCTTGTTAGGAGAATTTTAGCTGATATTTCTTAGAGTCAGAAGAGACGCTTTAAACATTCCTCACTGTGGATTTCAAGTATGCTGGAATGAAGCAAACTGTAAGGCCACCCAGGGGGGCACAGAATTGTAAGGGATATCACAGAATGTTGTAGCCAAGCTTTCTGTTCTTTAGGATTCTGCTCCTGATGAAATCCCCGGCTCGTGTCTGAAGGTCCGTTTGCTTTGTCATTCTTCCTTTCCCTTCAAACACTTGGAGAATTCCTCACTGAGAAGTGAAATGTGTCTAAGGTGAAATACATCTGAAGGCAGTTGAGAAATGGTGAAGCTATAATTAGTGTAGGACAGTATGTTTCACTGAGTTCAGAAACATCCTTCAGTGAAGTTATTGAGCAGTTACTGCTTTGATTTTGAAAGGCTCAGGTATAATCCAACTTCTCACCTAAAAATGGCTGCGTTGGTGACAAATTCCCATGGGCTGCTTTAGCTGGGGCCCTTGGGCACGTGTTCATTCTCAGGTACCTGACTTCCCAGCATCCTACTCAGGAAATTGCTTAAATAATCTGCAGGCCTTGACTTCCCAGTAGCATCGTGTGTGGTGCCATCCTGATGCCTGAGCACTGCTGGCAGCTCGTGCTGCTGTTATACAACTGGGGCAAAAGGTATTTCTCTCATCGTGCTTTGCTTCCATTGCTACGTGTAAAACATGCATGTCAGTGCTTCAGGAGATCGTAGTTCTTGTAGTATATGTCAGAAGATTTATTTTGGTTGATGTGTTTTGTGTTGGAATTACCCACAGTATAACAATCTGACATTATCTATTGGCAAAGGAAAAGCAGAAGAAAAGCTTGTTTGCAAAGAAATATGATTTTAGGAAGGAAAACCTGGCAGCTTTTATTCTGTGGAAGCTTTTGGGGTGCTGCCATGCAGTGAAGGTAACGTAAGCACTGGGAAGTGTCTCCCACACGATTTGTGAATGCATCACTCTTCTAACCTGTAACACCTGCTGCTCGAGTCCTCAGTTTCTGCTCAGCAAAGGTTGGCAGTGAGGGAGGAACTTTGCAGGGGGATTTAAAGAGAGGTCTTGTCATGGAGGGCTGGGACCCTTTCTTTGGAGGGCTTTGTTCAGTATCTTGTTAGAAAGATGTTGAGGAAGTTAAGCTCATCTCTCAAAAGTTGACTGAGAAAATCAGAACTTCGATTTGCCTCACTTCTGATACGGTACCAAAAGTTTGATTCATTGGTTTTCAGTTTTTTCAGCAGGACCTTTTGTTCAAGTTGTGCACAGGAGCGCACTCAGAGAACGGCGTTTGAGTGCGTGATGTTGTGTGCCAGGTTGTCTGCTAGAGCTCCTGAGTGCTTTCACAGCTGCTTTCCCAATGGCTTCCATTCACGGTGGGTTACCTTGTAACCCGGTGTATCTGACAGGTGCTGTGAGGTGGGTGTGCAGCTGGTGACTTTCTGCACTGCGTTGACAGGACAAGGGAGAGCAGTTTTAGACTGAAGGGGGTGATGTAGATTAAATGTTAGGGGAACTTTTTCACAGAGAGGGTGGTGAGGTGGTGGCACAGGCTGTCCAGAGAAGCCATGGGTGTTCTGCCCCTGGAGGTGCTCCAGGCCACCTTGGGTGAGACCCCGGACAGCCTGAACTGGAGACCCAGCCCACAGCCGGGGTGGGAACTGGATGGTCTTTGAGGTCCCCTCCAACACAGCCGTTTTAGGATTACAGGTTTCCCCTGTGGCCAAGTGAGATGGGCTTTCTCTGTGGATAACATGGCTAAGAGTCAACAGCGAAGGAAGCTTCTTGAAAATACTCAGTTTTCTAAACAAGTGTTGTTCTGCACGCGGTCATATAGGCTTGTAATCTCCAAGAAAAGCAGTATATTGACTCATCAGTATTGACTAATATGTTTCCGTTTTACATCTCTAATTGACATTGAGCAATGTTTAAGCTCTGCTCACGCAGCAGCAGGGTGGAGCTGGAGTAAACAGTGCTCTGCTGGGAGCTGCCTCCATTCACTGGCACGGCTGTGCCATCCTGCTCTGAGACACACACCCACATGTCACAGCAAGGGATCAGCATCCCTGGATCCAAGAAAGCCTCTTTATTGCAGGGATGGGGAATATTTCCAAAGGAGTCACAAGAGCTGTGTAGCCACAGCGCAGGGTCGGACAGTTGGGAGGGTGACAAACCTGTGAGCGTACTGAAGTTTTGAATTCTGTGAAAGACTTTTTGTCTGTTTTCTTCTTTCTTCACTTAGAAAAACATTTTGATGTGTTTATTCCTTCATGCCTGTGTGTATCTGCTTTTATCTAGCTTAAAGGAAAAGGAGTTCTCTTTCCTTCTTGCTGGGAACTTCTGTGTACATCTGTATGCACATATGGATGAACAAAAAACATAGCAGCCACATAAGCGTGGATTTATGATGCATCTCCAACAGAACATCATATTTTCCCTTTGGCACTGACTGCACAAGGCTGCTTGCTTGCTGTAGGAACTGCACTGCTTTGCTGCATTTGGGTCCTTAGATTAAATGTGAAGATGAGTTGCGCCCTCACTGGTGTTGGTGGGCATCCTTGGTGTATTTTCCAAGGCTGAGAACTTAACTGTGGCAAATCTGGGAAGAAATTTCAAATCTGTGTTTCAGAATGAGCTCTTTAATGAATGAGGAGAAGGGCTGTTAGCCATGAACACAGAACTTTGAATTTCTCTGTGTTACTTTTAACTGTCAGAAATCCTTACAAGCAGTTGTCAGCAATCCTTACACGCAAGTCTTAGCGCAGCAGAAGTTATTGCAACTTATCTCTAACTGGGAGCGTTGTGGAATCGTACTTCCAGGATTTATGTCAAAACTGAAAATCTGGCCTTCCGTGAGGTCTGCATGTTAGCTAGCCAAATTAAACAATCAAAGCTGTTGAATAATTTGAGAGTTTACCAAGGCTGTGAATTCTGATAGCTGCATCGTTTTTGTTTCTCGAGGCTCTTGTTGTAGAACCTGGTTTCCTTGGCTAAACTTCTGGAGGTGATAACCTCTGTTGGGTTTGTCTTGGTGGTTTTCTACAATGACTGCATTAGAGAAAGGCTGGGAGCTTGTATTGTAAAAATTGTGTAACAATGCTAGTGCCTTTCTCCAGCCCAGCTCTTGGAGGCAGATCAGATAACTGAACTCTGTCCCTCAGTGATGATTCAGGTGTGGTAGGTGGGTTGGCATTTCGCTGTGTTAGTTGGGCTGGTATTAGTTGCTTCCTGACTTCCTACCTGCTATCTCTGGTAGCTGTCAGACACTTTTGATTTGCAAACCTCTGAATGCTTTGCAGGAGAGATACTGACTCCTGGATAGAAAATACCAGCTGTTTCTAGGGTTGGTCTTAGTTGCCTCTGGTGCCTTGTGAGTAATCAGAATGACTTGGTTAAGTTGCCATGAAAAGAGCCTGCGCAGATCTTTGGGA